CATTTAGCTGACTATATCTCTTTTCCCCCCCCCCACCCCCCAGGCTGACAACACCTCTCCCTCCTGCCTGACCTCTCACTCACTCACGCACTCACACACACACACACACACACACACTCTCTCTCTCTCTCTCTCTCACACACACACACACACACACAAAAAGCAGCAGAATGTTGTGTTCTTTTATGTCGCTGATTATATATACGATTATGATTTACATTGTAAACTATTATTTCATGAGTGTGACATTGGGATATTTTTCACCTGCATCCTCTATCAGGCCTCTTTGAAACATGCAACTATGAAACCATTAACCTAAGCCTTTTGTGAGGTAATGCCATTTATAATATTCAACTATCTATATTCTGTATTATAGTTACATAGTTTCAATCTGCAATCAACAGTTTTACAAACCCTACAACAGCTGAATTTTATCGCATGGACGATATACAGCTGCTGCCAGCTGACCTAGCTCTGTCAGTACCTGATGCTCTGCACCAGCAAGAACAATGATGAATACTAAATTCATTATTGTAAGAGCCAGCAGTTGAGCATATGCTATCAGTTTGTATAATATATATGATGGTTTAATGCCTGAGTACTTCCACACTACTGCGTTTGGGGGGGGAGTGTGGTTCCTTCACCAGTAAATATATATATATTATGTGTGTGCATGTGTGTCTGCATGTGTGTGTGTGTTTTCAGCAGGATACTTCACACATCTTCTGAGTTCACTTTCCTATTGGCTGATTGCACAAGTCAAGTGACTTATACTTTATTGAGCACTCATCTTCAAGAAGTGCCCCGAACCACCTTCTCTACCAAGCTGCAAGTAGCTTTAATTGGAACCTGGGGGAAAACTGCTGTGTTGAAGAGAGTGCAGATTAAACAAAGTAAATACACTACCACGTATAAGCTATATATAATGCATGGAATAGCATGAGGTACACCCATGAATCTTGTTCTAAATCATGAGAAGCATATTTATGTTTTAGTCTTAAATGTATTTTGTTGATTTTATTCATGATTTAATTCAATATCATAAAGTTAACTCAAAATGTTTAAACTGACTTAAACATCAGTAAGTAATCATATTGAGCACCCCTAGCCAAGTCACAGGTAAAGTAGGGGAGCTGTGATAAAACAATGTGCTAACTATTTCCAGGTTATCAAAGACAAAATCACACAAGAAAATATTGACTGCAGCTTTGAGACATTTCAACCAGCCTGGGAAATACAATTCAAAGTTGTCAATCATCTTGCCTAGTAGCCTTTTATCACAAAATTGTAGTTACATTAATGTTTGAACTAAGATTTGTCTCCTCTGCTTGATCCCTGATACCAATTTCAAGTTGAAGTTAGTTGCAGGATGTGCTCCCTTTTGTGGAGTGTTCTGTACACAGAATATACAGACTGTGTACATGTAAGTGGAATGTTATTCGAAAAGATGACCTGGAGGAAGAAAGTAGTCCACGTCAATATTTTCTTCCATCATGATGTGCCTCATAACGTGTAAGATGACGTCAAACATAATGTGATATTCCAATTAAAACATTCTTAGAGTACTTCATGCTTCAGAAATATACGGGAAAATAAATACAATCTTTCCTCGTGTTGTTTGATATCAAACATATTACACCTGCAGGAGCCTCAGAGTTCTGCTATTTCAGTCACCCTTTGTTGACAGATCACGAGTCCAGTGAGGATTCTCTACAGTACAGCACATATCTTGATCACACTAGGAGTGGCATACTGAGACAATTTACACTGTTAGATCACAGCAAAATACATGATTGGGGAACACTAAATAACACAGAAAGTACACTCACTGGGCTTGTGGAACATCAACTAACATAGAGAGTACAGGGCTTGTGGAACATCAACTAACATAGAGAGTACAGGGCTTGTGGAACATCAACTAACATAGAGAGTACAGGGCTTGTGGAACATCAACTAACATAGAGAGTACAGGGCTTGTGGAACATCAACTAACATAGAGAGTACAGGGCTTGTGGAACATCAACTAACAAAGAGAGTACAGGGCTTGTGGAACATCAACTAACAGAGAGAGTACAGGGCTTGTGGAACATCAACTAGGAGCAGGGCTTGTGGAACATCAACTAACATAGAGAGTACAGAGAGAGAGAGTACAGGGCTTGTGGAACATCAACTAACATAGAGAGTACAGGGCTTGTGGAACTAACATCAGAACATAGAGAGTACAGTACAGGGCTTGTGGAACATCAACTAACAGAGAGTACAGAACATCAACTAACATAGAGAGTACAGGGCTTGTGGAACATCAACTAACATTGTGGAACATCAACTAACATAGAGAGTACAGGGCTTGTGGAACATCAACTAACATAGAGAGTACAGGGCTTGTGGAACATCAACTAACAGAGAGAGTACAGGGCTTGTGGAACATCAACTAACAGAGAGAGAGAGTATAAGGCTTGTACAGGGCTTGTGGAACATCAACTAACAGAGAGAGTACAGGGCTTGTGGAACATCATAGAACTAACATAGAGAGTACAGGGCTTGTGGAACATCAACTAACAGAGAGAGTACAGGGCTTGTGGAATATCAACTAACAGAGAGTGGAACATCAACTAACATAGAGAGTACAGGGCTTGTGGAACATCAACTAACATAGAGAGTAGGGCTTGTGGAATATCAACTAACAGAGAGAGTATAAGGGCTTGTGGAACATCAACTAACATCAGAGAGTACAGGGCTTGTGGAACATCAACTTGTGGAACAACTAACATAGAGTACAGGGCTAGAGAGAGTATAGGGCTTGTGGAACATCAACTAACATAGAGAGTACAGGGCTTGTGGAACATCAACTAACAGGGCTTGTGGAAGTACAGGGCTTGTGGAACATCAACTAACATAGAGAGTACAGGGCTTGTGGAACATCAACTAACTTGTGGAAGATCAACTAACAGAAAGAGTATTGTGGAGAGAGAGTATAAGGCTTGTACAGGGCTTGTGGAACATCACTATTGTGGAACATCAACTAACAGAGAGAACTAACATAGAGAGTACAGGGCTTGTGGAACATCAACTAACATAGACAGCTTGTGGAACATCAACTAACATGACAAGGCTTGTGGAACATCAACTAACATAGAGTGGAACATTAACTAACATAGGGCTTGTGGAACATCAACTGGAACGTACACATAGAGAGTACAGGGCTTGTGGACATCAACTGACATAGAGAGTACATCAATCCTCTACGGCTCGTGAACTCGAAGTATCCCTATTTGTATCAGGCAGCCTCCATAAACGTGTACGAACAATGTCCAGACACAAGGTTTTAGACAATAAATATTAGAGATTGCTTACATATACGGACATAACTAAGTTTAAGCATTATCAGCCCATTCATACTGGCTGTATCATCCATAATCATGTTATTCTGGCGTGCTTCTTACATCTCAGTTACGACATGACAATTGGGATTAACCCATAATGTGATATGGTGAGTTCATGTCAACAAATATCAGTAATGGCAAACCTGATTAGGTTTACAAGGCAATCATTGGATAAGTCAGTTTTATACTTAGTTCATTTGATGATGTATTTCAAAGGACATCTAAATGGTGATTGATATGAATGTATGTTACACAGTGCAGTACAAATTATATTTGTGTAAATCAAAGTAGCATGATCTTCTTCTAAAAATATTTCTAGTGAAAAGCTAAGATTTTGTTAGCAATAATTAATGCTAAAACCATGATGGAGGAATCTGAAAACAGTAATGAATCCCATCATTTTGAGTTTGTATATGTGAACAATTTTGGACAACATTTAATTGATGATTAATAACACATCAATTGAATTTCAGTAAATGTAAGTCATGCATGTAATATGATGAATATGTTGTTCTATCCTGTGACATTTGGCACTGAGCATCCTGGGTAATACCGAGCCTACAACCAATCATCATGTACACGCCAGTACTACACCAAGCAGTTCCATATACGGAGATATCCTGTGTTTCTGGAGGATCATGATGAGTGACCTTTGTCTACAGCTCATGATACACTGGTTTCCACGATTATTCAGTCTAGACTTTACTAGTGGAACTGAAATAACTAGTGTTGCTTCACGGATGACACAAATTATGTCAATAACTGGCACCAATGTCAATCAAGAAGGCCTTTCCTGAAGTGTACCTGCATCCTACCATTATGACCTGCCATCAGTGTCTCTCAGACAACTGACAACTCCATCATAACAAACGTATCCTGTCAATTTGATAAACGTCTCCATCTGTGACGGCGATGTCGTGGCTGCTGATATTGATGGCTCATAAAACAAAGGCACTGTCCTGCATACAGACACTTGATTAGTTTCTGCTCACGCTTGGTGTTTGATTGTGACTTCACCAGCCAACAACATAACATCACCCTCACACTTATCTCTCTCCTTAAATATATCTGCTTCAACTTGGCTATACATCCACCTCACCCAATGTATCTATCTCACCTCTAAAGATCTATCTCACCCCTGCTATATATCAACCCTATCCTTTGGTGGTGGGGTAGCCTAATGGTTAAAGCATCTGCGTGTCATGGTGAAGTCCCAGGGTGATTCCCCACATGGGTTCAGTGTGTGAAGCCTTTTTCTGGGGTCCCCGTCATAATATTGCTGAAATATTGCTAAAAGCAGCGTAAATCCATACTTACTCACTGACTCACCTACTCCACCCATCCAATATATCTATTTCACCTCTACAGATCTATCTCACACCTGCTATATATCCACCTCACCCAATATATCTATCTCACCTCTTTATATCTATCTCAACCCAGATATATATCCAGTTCACCCGAATAAATCTATCTCACCTCACCCTAGATATATCCACTTCAACCCTGATACATATTCAACTCACCCATGCTATACATGCATGTTACCCCTGCTATATATTCACCTTATCCCTGCAATGCACCCACTATAGTCTTGCTATGAACTGTCCACCTTACCTCTATAATGCTCTCCATCTCATTCTTCTCAATGGTTCCATTACCATCAATGTCGTACATGTCAAAGGCCCAGTTGAGTTTGTCCTCTGCTTTTCCTTTTTGTGATGTGATGTTGATCGCCATTAGAAACTCCTTGAATTCTATTGACCCACTTCCATCACGGTCAAATGACCTGAACACATGCTCACAAAAGGCATCTGGATTTCCTCCCGGGAAGAAGTTGGCGTAGACATTCTTGAACTTCTCCTTTGACAGCTGTCCATCTGGACAGTCTTCCTGCAAGACAAGACAAGGGGCATTAGCAGCAACTTCCACTGAAAACATTCTATGATCATGTACCATATTATACACCAGTCAGTTAGCAACCCAAAACATGCTTTTGAGATAGGTCAGTGGACAAGCACAAGCATTGACACAGGTTATGAACCATAACTGACAGGATCTTCAAAAGGGTGGCTGCAGAGCAGACATTCATCTGGGTGCATTCATACTGATGGACTTCAGACACTGAATTTGCCAGTGCAGCCTTACACACAAAACAAAAAGGTATTTGATCCTGTATATACAGGATAATAAGTGTCAGAGCCTTCCTACCACAGAAACATTTAACCTCCTGTTTACAAATAATGAACCAAAAATAGCACAGAAATAATCTGCTACCATATGTACAACTTTATACAAATCTAGAAGATCTCTACATTGTCCTATGAGTGTTATACAGATTTGTTTTAGTGTATGCATTGTTACTTTGATTCATTACATTCTTGTTTATGTAGTTTATAGAATAACATCACTGTTTCTACATGGCATATTTGCGCAATCAAAATATCTTGTCTTATCTTATCTCATACAGTGTACACACCTGTTCTATGGTTCACCTAAATTGGCCACAAAAGTAGAAACTCTGTAAACTCAGATGATTTATCCTACAGAGATTCACTTATGTTTATCAATAATCTAAAAACCTTTACACAGATTCTGTTTTGCCACTGAATATCTGCTGGCATAAAACTTTCAAATTCAATTTCATAAAGTGGACATCCCTTAAAGTGACAAGCATCTTTTATGTCAATGTAATAAATAACTTTTGGGATGAAATTCAATATTTGCTACAACATCTCCAACATTCAGTTGATGAAGATGTTCCCCCCCCAACATATCTGTAGTAATAATATTCACAATCACTCAGAGTTCCAGACCTGCAGGAATGCTGTTAGGAAAGGAAGTTCTGATATTCCCAAACTCTTATTTTTACAATTGCATGTGGATCTTGAATGCTCAATTGTCATGGTAAGCAAAAACTGAACAAAACAGAGAGGTGCAGAAAACAACCTGTGATATTAAGTAAGAGTGAACATATAGGGCAATGGGACAGTCGTCTGGGTAACAAATCAGGTAGAGACAGGCAGTAATCCATCTACATTGTCTGACTCTAGTGCAGCAGGTGCTCCCATGCCCAGAAAATAGTTCCTTACACGGGAAGTCGGCAAGTCTCCATCAATTTCCTTCATTTCTCGTTTTTCTTTTAGAAAAAGAGCAGGTTTTCGAAGCCTCCAGTAGAGTAAACAAGCAGCATGCAATAGATCAAAGGAAGGAAGTAAGTAAACCAACTGGCCCCGGATTGAATCAAGGTGGTCCCACGTTTCTCTGTAATGTCACCTGGGGAACTGTCACAGTTTGAACCATGTAAAGTTCAGTTGCGAGCCCAGAGCCCATACTGCATGCATTGATTATGGTAACTCTTAAATATTTTCAAAACTGGTAGTGTTAGATGCCGATGGAAACTACAACAACATAAAACATTGCCAGTTAAAGTTGATCACATTGAAATAGAAGAACTTCTATCCAAGCATTTTCCTACACAGTGAATGCATATATTATTAGTTTATCCCAAATCTACTCATCACATGTCATCTTCTACATCTTCCAGCTCTGAAGATAATGGCAGTGCCTGTCAGTGTATCCACATTGCTGCCTGTGACAGAGCACTAAGCTGCACTCAGCAGAACATTGTTATGATGGCCAGAGGTCCCTTGAGTTCCAGTAGCCTTCATAACCCATCTGGAAACTACAGACAGGCCCAACAGTTCTGACACTGACGATAATGTGTCCTAATCCTAACTGGGTATTACACCATGAGCTCCCCGCAGTGCCTGGTACATGTCAGCTCCTGACACCATGTTCCTGGGAGACCAGTAGCTCCTACTTGCCACCTGCAATGTCAGACAGGGTGAACACACCATCTTGTCTCATTGCAACGTCAGACAGAGTCTCACTGCAATATCAGACAGGGGCGAACACACCATCTTGTCTCACTGCAATATCAGACAGGGGCGAACACACCATCTTGTCTCACTGCAATATCAGACAGGGGCGAACACACCATCTTGTCTCACTGCAACATCAGGCAGGGGTAAACACACCATCTTGTCTCACTGCAACATCAGACAGGGGCGAACACACCATCTTGTCTCACTGCAATGTCAGACAGGGGTGAACACACCATCTTGTCTCACTGCAATGTCAGACAGGGGCAAACACACCATCTTGTCTCACTGCAACATCAGACAGGGGAGAACACATCATATTGTCTCATTGCAACGTCGGACAGAGGTGAACACACCATCTTGTCTCACTGCAACGTCAGACAGGGGCGAACACACCATCTTGTCTCACTGCAATGTCAGAGAGGGGAAGGAAGATATTTAACTTTTGAATGAGTAAATGAATTTGACTGTTTTCTTTTCTTGATATCTAATTAGATGCACTGTCATCCACATGAAAGTTACAAGTATGAAGATGTTCAACAAAATGGTCATACATGCTGTACAAAATAGTTGGCTTTCCTACTGGATATGATATTACTGGAATGGTATGGTGGATAGACATTAAGCTCCGGCTGCCTCCAACAAGTGCAATGGACAGGTGAAGTGACACAAATAATGAATGCTTGTGAAGTGAGAACTTTTGCATCTGTTCTTGATTTAAATGTTTCCGACATTTGGAACTAAAGTGCCCCTAGCCACAAAAGAAAATATGGAATTAAACTGCCCTATGATATGAATGAGCCACAAAAGAATTGGTTTCGTCTTCAGAGGAATATAACCACCTGCCACAACTGTAAAGAATTGTCCAGCTGAACTCGTTATCAGAAATGTCAAAGATATTAATTCATTATGCAACACATATTGCTGAGGGTGACTGGGATGTTCTCTATTGCAGAAATCTGTTATAATTCAGTCTTCCATTTTAAAATGACATTTTGCCTAATATATTTAGTGCATGACTAATATGCCATAAATGCACATTCATCTAAAACTGAATTGTGTAATTTAAGCCATGACTCTGTAGTAGTCATATGCCTCCAGAAATAGCCCCAATAACTTGATCTCACCTTGGGAGTTACTTGTCCTTTGAACACTCAACAACATTTAAACTTTAATAGAAATCCAATAGTGGCAAAGATAATGGGATGAGCTGGGGTTTGAATCCTGCTTTCACCAATATTTCAGTTATATTATGGCATGTCATTTCACAGCCGGTTGATGATGTTGACAGACATAGGATCAGAATCAGATGTTTAAAGAATCAGTAGGGGGATATAACACAGAAATACACAGAGAGAACACATCGCAGGATTTATCTTTTCTAACACATCTGCATGTGTAAAACCTACACATTGAATAAACAGCCAAATGCATAAACTTTTTTTTTTAAACACTATGATTGCCATGGACACAGGATTGCATTTGAAAGGTGATCAATACAAAGATTTTATATACAGTAATCATACTGAATAATCAATAAGCCATGGACTCATTGGTATCCTTATTAAATGTCACAAAGTACAGAGCATGTTTAGTTCATTCAAGAAAAGGTCATTCAGAATGTCTGCCCACATTAAAACTGTCTGATTTGTCTTATATGTTGGACGCCAAGCACTAACACTGTTTTTGTCAACTGATCCTTGCTGAATGTTGGAATCTGTGGAACTACCAGCAGTAATCAATGTTTCTTCAAGGATTCCACTTGCCTCTTGTAAAGTCACAAAGGCAGTGTTGTATATGGACACATTAAACAGCCTGCTCCGAGTTTCATGCTGATTAGAAACTGATCCCCACGTATTTGATTAACTGTTAAAAGTAACCAGTAGTTCCTAAAATACACATTCCGAAGTTACTTGATTCGATAAACAGCCGTTTTTACTAGCTGGCATATACACTCCAGAGATACATCATGTCTATATGGAACAAGTTTAACACTCAATACTATATTTGCCATAGTATGTGCCTTGGACAGTTAGAGAATTTACATGCTTGAGTTAACTTGATGTTCATGATACTGTAGAAACATTCAGATTAGTTCCAACACTGATGAGACCATTACCATTTTTATTATAGTTACTATGCAACTACATAACCCTTCTACAATGCTGCATTTTCTGTAAAAAGATACACTATGTACACACAAAAAATGTGATTATTTGCTGATTGTTTTAAAAGTTTGTCAGGGGGACACTTATTACTACAAATCCGGTACCTGTATATAGATAGTTGTCCTGCTGCCACCAGGAGGGAGGGAAGGGAAGTGTACGAAATCAGAGAAAACATCACTACAATGAGTGACAGGTCCTTCCTCTTGTCATGCCCATAATAGAGCAATAGATAACATGTTAGACACTCACAGATATTGATCAGTGAAGCAGTTCCTTGTTTAATGCCTTGCCGATAGCATATTGTTGTTGTTATGTTTATTCCCGGCTACTGATAACCATAGTTATCAGTTATCGCAGGACCAGAGGACACACTGTAACCTTTTCCCCTTTATTAACTGATCAATGAGTAATATCACCCTGCAGGTGATTTCTCTTATTACACATGGTCACAGCTAGGCCATGTGTTTGTCTTACTACGAAAACCATCTGGCAATCACTGGCAATTAGGGTAAAGTAGTTTGTCACTATGAAATATATTGGATGTAAAAATCAGAAGTTGTGTCAATAATAGTCTGTCATAATTATCTAAATTCACTAACATCACCAAATACTGTCAACATACATTCTCAGTTTCTTCCCACTAAAAGTCAGTTGTACTCCTAACTCGGAAAGATAAAGTCTACTTTATTCCTTATCTTAATACTTCTAGCCTACTTATTCAAAACACATGCACTTAAATCTACTTGCCATTATAATCATGGCTTTAGAAATCTCTTCCAATTTTAAAATAGGAATCACACTTTCAAAAAAGCCACCAAAAGAAATAGTAAATCTAACTGTT